CACACATGTATAATAAAGAAATACTCATATATTTGATTGATTACTCAATGAAGCTAATTCCACAGTAAACGTATACCAAACAATGATGTAACTCACCATTTACGTTAAGTGTCACACTGGCCTCTAGTCCATCTCCAGCATCATTACTTGGTACACATTTGTACTTGCCATGGTGCTGAGACCGCTGTACATTGTTGATGGTGTATTGATTGCCATTACTGCCTTTGACGAGAGTTGTATCGTTCAAATAGAACTTGTACCATGACACTTGTGGCTGAGCTGCTGTGACATCACAAGTGAATGCTACTGATCCTCCTTGTGTGATGGTATTACCAGCAGCATTAGTGCTTAGTGTTGTACCTTCGGGCGTGTCTAGTAACATCAACCAATCGTGAATTTTAACATTTAACAAGGAACACGATTAACTGCAGCAAATCGTCAAATAACTACTATTTTGACGTGACCTCAAATATTGCCCAGCGATACAGATACCATCTAAGCTTCGAGACATCTTTCTAGTAACTAAAGATTCTAAGTTTCAGCAAATGTAGACAGTAACAAACCCGGTCTTAATGACTCTCACTTGTTACGCAAACTAAACAACACTCTAGCTGTGGGAATTATATGGTATTGTATGTGTGTAAGTACGGAAATTACCTTTCCATTACTCGTAAATACATACATCGTAAATAAGTACAAAAGAGTTTTGAGTATATCTTGCCGTATCTTGCCAGACCAGTGGTTGAAAATTAACACCCCTTTGATTCGATAAATCAGTAGATTTGATAGCTTTGAACCGAAGTGTTGCCTAGAAGATCATGTGTGTGGTTTGCACGGGCGCAAAAAGATTAATCTAGTTCAATGAGAAATTCCTTTCGAGAGCGTTAAAAAACTGGGACCAAGCGTATCACGTGACGTTTGCAAGATTTCCCGTCGCTCCATGAACTGAACATTAAACTCGGCGAAATCTTCTTGAACTTGCTCTTCATAGTGAATGTTGGCAATCATATGCGCCCACTCAGGGCTTATTTGTCAGGCAGTCATCAAATAAAGTCATCATGTCAAGTGACGATCGATTGACAGATGACAGATGGCCTTCATAGTAACTAGGGTGTCACGCCAGAAACGTTACGCAAAAGGTATTGCGCAAAATGATTTTTAATGGAAGGACTTATTTTTATTGGGCAGGACATGTGCAGAGCCAAGTGGTCAGGCGCCCGACTTACTAACAACAATATATGAAAAAAAAAAACATTTCCTAACCAAATCGTCCACCGATTCTTTCGGTTCTTCATTATTATTTTTGTTTGTTTTCTTTTTCATCTTCTGGGTTTTTTCCGTCGTTAGAGACACTTGCTTATGCCGTACATCTTTTATCCACGTGCTAAACATTTCAATGTAACTTTCTCTGTTTCGCTTCCTAAATCTTTCCTTCTACCGTATTTTGTTTACAGTAAGGCTAATGCATGTTTAAATCAGACAAACAA